AAACACCCTGGTCTCAACAAGAGTAATCAAAGAGAGATTAAAAGAAGATACCCAATGCCGCACTTCTCTCTGACATTCCGACTTCCTATAGTCCACTTACCACTTTAGCTCTGGTGACTCTTATCTGATTGAGCCACAATAGCCTTCTTTTTCTTCTTCTTTTTGCCATCTACACAACTTGAAGAAGAATCCATCCCTTGAGAAGACTGAACGCTAGGGTCATCAATTCCTTCACTGCCACCCTTCTTCCCATCCTCTTCCCTTTGAGAAGCACTAGCAGAAGTCACATTTCGGGTCCCCACTTCTATAGAATCCTCCTGCACTCTCACCCCATCAATTTTCTCCCCTTTTGAGTTTGAAAAAAATTCATAAAAATTCCTAGTACTAACTACTCATGCAGCAACTTCCTTGTCATTAGTCTTCTTCCTGCTGGAGTTAGTACCCACATTTGGAACAGTTTTGAATCCATCTTCATCAGACCTCTCCATATTCCTTTGAACTACAGCTTCAGCTTGAACCCCATGTTCACTACTCTGTTCAATTCAAGGCTCATTCACAGAAATTAACCTTTCTTTCTTATTTCCAACCCATTGGCCTACAACCTTAGGCTTCTGAGGATTCAATGGCACTTTAGAAGGGCATTTGCTCTCCAAATGATCAACTCTCTTACAACGTTTATAGAACTGTGGTTTCCATTCATATTCAATGTCAACCACACATTCTTATCCATGCAAAGAAATAAGCAGATTCAGGTAAAACACTCTGCACCTCTACCTCAATCCTCAATCGTAACTTTAACATTCTGACCTCTTTCTCTAATAACTGATGCATCATCCATATAGAATGGGTTCGAGAACTTTGATCGAATCTTAGAAATTGGAGTAGGGCTATTATGACTATGAGCATGCATTGGAAGATTAAATAACCTAATCCAAATGGGAACCGCGGCCAACAAGTCTTTTTCAAGATTCACGTTCCATTCCATATTCGAAAATAATAGGTCAACCCTCAAAGGTGTGAACTCTCTTCAGAACTGCTTCCATATCCTCTACATTCTCAAACTTCTCTTGGAAGAAATCATCTTGTAATGAAACAACCATGGCATCTTTACACCATCGCTTCTGCACATATGGTTTTTTTTTAAAAGAAAGAAAGAGGGAAATGCGGCTTCTTCCCAAGACATAACACACAACAGACGTCTTCCAAAACTCTATTTCCTCTTCAATGTCAGCGTCTTCAAACAAAATAGTATCCATTCTTTTACTTTCATCATGAAGGGATAGGTTTGTAAATACTTGAACTACTATAATTTCATATTCTTATTTTTTTGGGGCAGTATGCTAATGGTCGGAACTACCTCGAAATAGAAGAAGTGCTTTTTCATTATTTTCCAGAATTTGTTCCGAAGGCATTCTATGCGATGGCAAAATTCTATTATGGAAGATATCCTTTGGATGAATTGGAAAAGTAATGTTTACCATTTATTTATTTATTTTTTTCTTTTTCTTTCATGTTTATTTATTTATATTATTTTTGTTTGGCTTATGACATACTTGAATCTTACTGTAGGGAGGAACTCATACAAACCTGGAAAATCCTCACTACCCATTAGGTCGCTAGTATCTTGTAAGTCATTTTGCAGCATTATTTTGGAAAATAGGTATCTCTTATGGTTAGTCTAATTATTTAACATGCATGTAGTAGAGTCCATTCCTTAGTTTCTTTTTATGCTGCAAGTTTTATCCTTCTGGATTGTATTTATTGAATCCGCCGCTGCACTAATTTTTATTTATTTATCATGCTGTTGGAGAATATTATTATAGGATTAGAGAATAAATTATAGAAGTGTCCTTAAATCACTACTTTGAACAGTCTGTGTAACATAGGCTTAGGGCCACCCCTTTTTGTTTCTGGTGGGGTTTGTGGTGAGAGAGAAATAGAACGTCCTCAAAGGGGAGAAAATCCCCATTTGGTCTCGCAAATACATTATTTTGAGTTCTATATTCTTTTGGTGAACAGCGAAATTGTAAATAATCAGGAGATTTTAGAGATTGCTTTAGATAATAAATGGCCCTTTTTGCTCTTTTGTCTTGTTCCTTGGGAGCACTCCCCTCTTGAGAACCTTTAATGAATCATTACTTATTATTTTAAAAAAAAAAAAAAAAAAAAAAAAAAAAGAAGGATTATTGAAAAACTCTGCCTTTTTAGGAGTTTCAAGTACTAGGTGGCTCTCTTCTTTTTCTTTTTTCTAGTTAATGATGAATTTTTAAATTCTAATCACATTTTATTCTAGTTGTTGAAAGTATTATAAATTATTTTTAAAATAAACTTCATGTTTGAACATTAATTTTTTTTTATAAATAAAATTTAATTAAAAAGTGCCCAAAAGGAAAGCGCATCCCAAAGCACTAAACAAGGGTCAAAGAAACGTGCTAAACTGACAATGAATCCACCAACTCCACTATATCCCCCACAGATTTATAGTATAATTCGACCCATATACCTTTCGAATACAGAGCTAAGGATAGAAAATTTTAGTACATAATTTAGAACCTCCTCCCCATCAAAAGACCACCTGTTCTGGTCCTGACACAAACCACGCCATAAACATAGGGGCACCACCCTTAATGCATCATGGGCATGCCTCTGAACTATACAACCCCTCCAAGCCTCAAACGCGCTCTTCGGGTGCTCCGACATAACCCACTGAATACCGTATAAAGTAAAGATCATGGTCCAACTATCCTTAGCCACTGCAAGTGCAAGAGGAGATAACTAACCGACTCATCTCCGCCCTTGCACAAGCAACTCCAATTGATGATAATCTAATTCCTTCTCCTCAGGTTACAAATTGTTAATATCCTCTCCAACGCCACTGTTAATCCAAAAAAAGGCTAATTTGAGAGGTGCCCTAGTGTGCTAAACTGCCCTTTAAGGGCAAGAAGGCCCGTGAGCATGCATCAATCTTTGGTAGAACCGTAGAAGGATCGGATCCACCAATCTCTTGTCCCTTTTTTTTAGTTTTTGGAATGCATTCCCCTTTTGAATACTTTCTAATACATTGTTACTTATCAATAAAATTAAATAAAATTCCTCACTACATTATCAATTGTATTTCTAGATTTTCTAAAGTTACACTCCATGTATTCAGTTTTATTTCTAGTCATCTCAAGCCCTTGGAATTAAGCTTCTCTTCAAACCTCCAAATTTGAATTAACTCCTCTAATCTCATCGATTAAAACAATATCATTGGCAACCATGGAATATCATCTTGGATGTGTCTTGTTAGCTCATCCACTACCAAGTCAAAAATGTATGGGCTTAATGCTGATCCTTGATGTATGTCTTGGAATTCACTTGTTTTCCTTAAGTCACACAATCATAATACATGTCCTTTATTGTGTCGATGTATGTATCCCTTCACGACTCCTTTCTTTTCCATAACCCTCCACATTAAATCTCTAGGTACCCTTAGGTGTTCTCCAAATTAATAAAAACCATATGGAGATCTCTCTTCTTCTCTCTATATATTTCCATTAGTCTCCTCAAAGTATGTAGGCCTAAACTTCCTATATGGTTTTCATTTAGCAATTTTTTTTTTTTTTTTTTTTCCTTTCATAATTGTTCATTTAGAAATTTCTAAAAATAAATTTTCCAGCTTTCTTTAATTTCATCAATCTTCACTCTTAATACATTTAATATCGATAAAATCTCTAGTTTTCCTCTTCCTTAGTTTAGCAAGTTTATATATATTATTCTCCCCTTCTGTTTGTGCCAAGTTTATATATACTTGGCATTTCTCTTCCTAAGTTTGACTTTTAGATTATGTGGAAAATGGGATAGGGGAAAATGGTGAGGTAGACATGTTGTATCTGGTTAGTTTGACATATTGAAATGTCAAATTTGAGAATATAACATTTTAAGAGGATAAATTTTATTTATCTATTGTATTGGTAGTGAATGAATTACTAAATATATTTTTTTTTTCAGAAGCGCCTCATTTTGAGAAAGTTAAATATCATTTTTTTTTTTTTTATGCTGACAAATAACCCACACATTTGATCAAAACAATGAATCTTATTTTTTATCTTAAAATTAAAGAAAAAAAACCACTAGACCATGAACTAGATAATTAAATGATACATATTTTCAAAGATACTCTCAAACATGAAGATCAATTCTTTTAACTTTCAATAATTTATCTAAATTTCAATAATAATTCCCTTGCAGGTCCTGGTTCATGTAAGTCTCATGAACTGCTAAGCATGCCCGAAAAAAGAAAAAGTGATTTTAAAGATGCTTAAATAGTGTAACTTTTTCAGCATTCCCACAACCACATCCACAACATGGATTTGGATTGATATTTAGGTAGCATAAGTAAAAAATATAAAATAAAGAGTATTGATGCTTAGGTTGAACTGTCAATGTAAATTACATTATCAAATGTAATTAGTCATTTTTATCAAATATAAAAAAATAGAAATCTCACTTCCTTATATTTTGCATATACAACTTAATATTAAAAGATTTTCGGTCAAGTAAATCAAACTTTTAGGCCTCACAAATATTTTTTTATAATAAATAATTTTGAGAAAATTCACCAGCTAGTTATCACAGTGAGGTAGTTGAACATTTAAGACACTGTCATAGGAGCAGATGCAGTACTATGTGGAAGATAAAGGGTCAATAATGCAGGCTGGGATTTAATTTCCATAGACAAAATCAATCTGAGATTCATCAATGCGTGTTGATCCTCTCTGCCAATGAATCTCTCTGCCGGTCAGCCCCCTCATCTTTACGGGCAGATGACTTTTCCCCATTTTTTGCAAAGTGAGAGAGAGCTCTTTTCTCACACACACAGCCCCTTACACCAATTTGTTTATTTTACTGGCAGCATAGCCTTAAAATGGTCCCCCCCCCCCCCCCCCCCCCCCCCTCTCTCTCTATATATATATGCACACACACACACACACACACACACACAACCCCTATTTGCAATTCTCTCTCATTTCTTTCTCACCTTTTCATGAAGGCATTCTACTATTTTTTTTCCTTTTTAGTTCGATGTCTATAAACTCTTATAAATATGGCTATAACCCAAACGCGAAGACTCCACACCCTCCCTTTCAACGAATTCTCTCTCTAAAAATGTCCCTCTCCAATTTGAAAAATATTAATTGAATAAATAAAGCACACCACTTTCACAGACGCGTGATATATACTACTCAGCGTGAGATTTGTCTATATCATATTAATTTGACAGTGCAAAGAAAATCTCCTCCTGCACAAGTAACCACAGCTTTAATATTGTGTTATTTCAAAGTCTCAGGCCTCACCTTCCATTTATTGAGACCTCTCTCTCACTTCCTCTTTCTCACTCTAAAACTTGGAGTTCATCCTACTTTAAAATACCCACCATTTCCCCACTTTCAGACTCTCTCTTCTTATCCATCTCCCTTATCTTTCTCTCTCTAAAACTTGGTGGGAAAACCATCAACGAAAGCCCTCTTCCCTGTCTACCGCCCTTTCTCTCTCTAAAACTTTCGCTCTCCAAGCCCCCCTTGTGTTTTTCACCTTCTGATCAAATGAGTGTGGTTCACTTGTTCAAGCATTCGTTTGCTCTCTCTCCATCATCATGTTCAACCGGTAAGTATATCTTCTTCCATGCCTTCTAGTTCTTTTTTTCTTTTTTATATTATTTTATTGCATAATCATATCTCCATATGATAAGCATTTTCTCTCTTCTGTTTGTTACATGTGATATGGTATGTATTACACAAAATTAATTTCTCTCTCTTTTTCTTAATTTGTTGGCATATACATTTTTATTAGTAACCTTCTTCAATTCCACATGTTTTCATATTTGGCTTTGTAACCTTTATTTTGGGTTGCATCTGCCTTGCACCGGAGGAGTATAGATTTATTATAAAATCCTTACCCGTGACCATATTTAATGGGATAATTCAAGGGTTTCATTAAATTGTACCAATATATTTTAGTTATCATTACAGACACTCAACATAAATTAACGCAAGTTAAACTGTTATCCCTATTTAGTACCAATTAAACTGTATGCAAGTTAAAATTTGGAATAACTTGTGAAATATTATGAAATACCTCAACTCTTTGGCTCTTTGGTGGACTTTTCTCAACAACTACTCGCTCTGCAGCTTTGCAAGTTCTTGTATTATGACCATAATCCAAGCATTTTGAACACTTTCACTTTTTCTTTTGACCTGCTCAGATGGGTTGAACACTTCACTTTTTTTTATTTATTTTTTTGTTTCTCTTCTTCTTTGGTCCTATAGGTTGGAGGATGGATAGGGGTTGTGGGCTCTGTTATTAGCTGCCTTCTCATAGGCATGAGGTTGATTATGCCACCATAGGCCTTCAAATACGTATCTTTGTGATAGTAGGGATGCACGTATATCTAGGGAGTTTCCTTTCTTACATTAGCCACTTTATAATCCATCATGTAATAAATTGATCTGTAATAATAATAATAATAATTATTATTATTATTATTATTTTCAATATTACAGAACAGTTTAGTGAATTGAGGGGAGATTTAGAGCAATTTCAAAATTTGGTGGGAAGGCTGTCAGCAAATTCGAGCTTATGGATTCTCCTTGGCCAAAATTCATTTTATCATTCGATTTATTGGTATCCGGTTGAAATATGACATGGTGGAAAATTTGAGTTGAAATATGACATGGTGGAAAAGTTGAGGTAAAATTATTCTCTCATTTCTTATAGGGATCATTTTTTTGAGTATTATTTATAATATTATGTTTTTCTAACCTTTTATTTATGTGAATAGGGAACGGTGGTTTTTTATGAAAGCCAATCCCGTTGTATATGATGGGAAGGTTGGAGCAGTCTACGGAACTGAAGACGCAAGTGTCCTACTCTACGGAACTGAAGATGTAAGGGTCATACTATACGGAATTGAAGATGGAAGTGTCGATCCACAATATTCACGAAATGGTGCCATTCTCCTATTTCATCGATATTTATATGTTTGATGCCTTCTCCTACGAAGAAATTTATAATACCAGCCCCATTAATTCCATCAATTATCCGTCTATCAAACAAATGAATTAATTTAGCCAACCCTCTGAGGATCTAACCAATCATATATTCCATTTATTATTTTGTCCCAAGAGTTCTCTTAGGCCCGTTAATTAATTTTGCAAAGATGAATAAACAGGTTTGTATAAAAAAGATGCTATAAAAATTCCAAAATAAGTTATACTAACTGGAAAAAATTACATCATTCACAAATTCATACCAATCCATCAAATCATTCGAATTTTGATGTAAAAAGGTTTATAGCCGGATTTAACCATTCGGATAAATATATCCAAATCCACTCCTTTATTGAAAGGCAATCCTATGGATCCAACTAACAAAGTCCTGTGGATCCAACTAACAAAGTGAATAGGGTTAATACAAGTTGAGGAAATATCACAGTATTGTCCGACTTATAAGGATATGAATAAGTGTTCTTATTGCAAAAATGAGTAATAGTAATAAAGGTTCGTGTCATCTTTCTTATATTCTCTTCAACTCGATATGTCTGCTTTGAAAATAAAAATAAAAAAAAAAGCACTTATCATTATCATTCATTGTTTATAAGCAAAAAATTTTGTTAATTGTTTTCAAATCTATTTTACCCCATAGAGATATTGAACAGAACGAAGTATGTTTTTTTTGTCGCTATAATTTTGAAAATGAACGTTTAAATGACCCTCAAAAGCAAGCTTGCAACTCGGGCGGGTTTGATGTATAATTTGAATTCAACTCACTATACGAAATATTAAACACAAGCACAATTCTAACACTATCCTCAACCGTAATTACTCAACCCAAGCCAAACACATCCTTCTATTTTTAAATTCGGACTTGCAATTCGGGCTTAGATTCCGAGTAAAAACTTCGGGTTGTTCATATGGCTAATCCTTATGTCGAAAATTTAATATGATCTTAAATTAGTTTTAGATTAAATTACTCTTAAACAAGAAAAAGTATAAAGACTTTTTGTAGATTTTTAATAAATTACATACAAATTTTTTTAAACAAGAAAAAGTATAAAGACTTTTTGTAGATTTTTAATAAATTACATACAAATTTTTTTAAAATTACTAAATGTTAACATACAATAAGTTAAGGTTTAAAAAAAGAAGTTGAAAATAAAAAAAGTAATCATAGTTTAAATATTATATATAATGTATTTAAAAGTAAAAATATATATGAAAATAATATTAGAATTCAGGTTCGGGTTGGCTCAGGTTGTTAGCATTTCAACTTAAGTTCAACCCTAATTAAATTCGAATTGATATTTTTCAATCAAAATCTAACCTTAATTAAAAAAATGATTATCCAAGCCCATAAGAATTGAACTGGGCACCAACCCAAGTTGCACCTCTACTCAAAAGTAAGTAATGGATTTGAAACATATAAAATGCGCTTAATCCTACTGTAGAGCAAGCTACTATTGCAAAAATTGGTGAATACAACTATCATTAAAAATTTCATCATTGGACCAATAACAAGCAAGAGGTGGAATACCACAAAGAGAAAGTGTACCTAAAAAAGAAGCACTTTCATTATCATTCATTATTAATAAGCGAAAATTTTTGTTAATTGTTTTTTAACCTACTTTACTCCAGAGAGATACTGAATAGAACGTATGGGGTATTTTTTTTGCCTCTATAGTTTTGAAAATGAATGTTTAAATGACCCTCAAAAGTAAATAAATAGATTCGAAACATATAAAATGCGCTTAATCCTGCTATAGAGCAAGCTATTATAGCAACAATTGGTGAATATTACAACCATCATTAAGAATTTCATCATTGGACCAATAACAAGCAAGAGGTGGAATAATACCACAAAGAGAAAGTGTACCTAATAAAAAATAATTTTTTGTGATTGGTACATGTTTTGTTAAACCCCCCACGAGAACCATATTCTGACTTTTAAATTTAATTATATAACTATTTTTTTTCCCCTTAATGTGGTTGTTTTATTGATACATACACAGTACAAGATAAACACAACCAAAGTAAAAGCTCTAAAAACAGAACATTGGAAAGGAAAAACCTAACCAACTATAAAAGACTGACTATAGAACGGAAGAAAGGTCTTGCACTGAAAGTCTCGAAGCTCCTGCCCCTTCCATGCATATATCAAAAGCCACATCTGTAACTGGGCCTTTATCACATTCCAATCCCAACTACCCCCCAAAGAGCACTAGTGTAAAATGTCATATCCATCTTTTATTGGAAAATCACTAATGCTTCTCAAACCTTATTGGAAAGTTCCTTTTTCTCATTTGGCACAAGCGTGCCCCTTGAAGCATGCGCATGTATATTCTTCGGGGTAGAAACAATTGCATATTCAAGGGAGCCTAAATGCTATTCATAGAGTCCTTTTCATAATAAGTTAAAAATGTACTTTGTAACTAAACAGTGACATTAAGCCATTTTTTTGATTATTTTTTCAAACTTAACGCATTTATAAAAAAATAAAAAAAATAAGAAAGTAAAATAAAATCCTTTAGGCGTAATATTTGCCCAAAATTTAAACATTATGGGTGTTTTTCTTACTTTCGGCAAGAAACTCACATGTAGTCGGCGTAGGTAGAATCTGTCCACCTACCATTTTAGCTCTGGCAACTCTTTATCTGATTGAGCCACAGTAAACTCACATGTAGTCACTGATTATGCGTGCCCCTTGAAGCATGCGCATGTATACGCTGTGACGGAGAAACAATTGCATGTTCAAGGGAGCCTAAATGCTATCCTTTTCATAATAAATGTCATGAGCTCTTTATTTATTAACTAGATAATATTTGAAATATGTTAAATGCCATATCCATCTTTTAATAAACCTCTCTTTCGAATGGTTAATGAAGAGAGTTACTAACTTTTATCACCAGAGGACTCTTCTCTAGAGGATCAAAATCTTCCCTCTAGCATCCTATCAAATCCAACCCTGACACCATTAGACTTATGCTACTCTCACTGAAATTCAATCAGAAACTACATAACCATTACATCAACATGGGAGCTTCCAAGCTACTGCTTTGAACCTTCATAGCTGCTCCTTCGTCGTCCAAGATTTCTTAATGATTGGTAGGCTTTATATATATATATATTGTTATAAAGTATAAAATGGAAGTGAAGATAAATTAAATGAGTAGAACATAGATATTGGTTCAGCTATTAGGACCTACATCCACGGCATAAAGAGTTCAAAGGGTTACATCACTTTTATAATACTCTTTCAATTCATTTATAGTACAACTGTGAATGATCCTTTATATAGGAGAATAAATTAGGAGAATGGAAAGAATTATAAAATAGGAAACAAGAAAGAATTTTCTCCACGGATTCCTCTATTAATACCAAATCTTCAATAATAGGAAATAATATCAATTACTGAAAGATTTTCGTCCACTGATTCTGTGATACCCTTCAGATCCGAGACACGGGTTGATCAGGCCCAGGCCCAAACTCGAAGGAATATCAAACAATTAATATTTTAAAACGAATACAGATGACAAAATGAAATAAGAATAAATATTAAAAGCTGAAAAGAATACTAATATAAAATCCTCAACTGATAAAACTTAATAAAATCCAACTCCCAAAACCTCCATGATTACAACTCGGGAATCCATCTCTAGTGGACCCCTAATAATAATGCAAAACTAAAAACTGAAAGAACATTCAGAAATAAGCTATGGAGAGAAATCCTACGTCGTCGGTAGAGTGAGTAAAAATCTCTGCTCAGCACGATCAAGTCTAAATCTGGAACTGTCGTGTACTTGAAAAATAGAAGTGGGTCAGGCCCACGCGCAAGTTCTATACTACTACAATCCAAGCAGAGACCTGATATGCATGTACATCCTAACTAATCCAACAATAACTAAATAGTCCATATATATATATATTCACACTGCAGGACTCTCAGTGGATTACAGGTCCGTCCCAACCTGACTAGTAGGCACCATGCACAACGCACCAGGGGTGGGCATGACTACCTAGACCTAGCAGGGTACACATCCAACCATCATAGCCAGCTATGCATCCCAATACATATACGCTCCCTAACCATCGACTCTGAGACTCAGGCTCATATCATGGCACCATAAAAATATATTTAAATTCCATTCCAAACCAAAGTGTCACTCATTTTTTAGTGATCTGACACAAAATACAGGTAGGACTTAACTTTTGTAGTTAATCCATCCCTTAATTCAGAGTAGGTAGGACTTAGCGTTCTTTTTGAGCTAATCCCCCTAGTATGTCACCGTCCCATACCGGTGCATACCAATCATCCATCCAGTGTTGATAATATAGATAACAGTAAACATATCAATATCAACATATCCAATACAATTATAACAAGAATGTGTAAAATAGCATGCTTGTTCAATACCATCAGTACTTAATTCTCTAACAATTTAAAACGCAGAGAAATAAATATAATCATTCTGTAATCCACAATAAGCATAATAATAGTAATAACAGAATTAACATGCTTATTGATACCTACTCCACAACATCCAATAAGTTGATATAAAGAATTCTTGGTAAACATCAACTAATTTCTTATTATACGATAACAGAATTTATATAAACTGACATGTTTAAACTCATACCACTGTTACATGATTTAAACATAAAACTCCTAATTCAATTGCTAATTTAGAATTAAACAACTTGAATCATCCAAAACAGAGTTAAAACTGAAAACTTCTTTAAGGATTAGACTGTGTCCCTATTTCAGCTTCCTATGGTATCTTATGAATTACCACGCCTTCTTCCAATTTAACAAGAGTGTATACCCTACTGAATATCCCTAGAATAACTTTTGAATCAGCCTGGAACCTTAAAAATTTAACCACAGTAGCCTAGGTTCGCAGAAAAGTCAAAAAACTAGAAACCGTCGAAGGAGCCGCCTCCAAATAAGTTGGAGCCGGCTCCAAACATGTTGGAGCCGCCTCCAACTCTTTTTGAGCCGGCTCCATGATTCCATGGAGCCGCATCTTCTTTCCCCTCTCTTCCTGGTTGCTTGTTTCGTCTCCGGTGATCCACATTGTTTCCGTTCCTCTTTGTTACAGCCTCTAACGCTTTTAAATATGTTTTGACTGATTAAACTAA